AATGTAAAATTTAAACTTTTTCAAGATAAGATATTGATTATTTCTTTATAATCGCAAATTTAGGATATAAAATGTGCCACACCAAAAAAATTACTATTTGGGTAATGCCGCTTCGAATTTTTCACAATTGAGCAATTGTCAAAAATCTGCTTTTTATTCAAAAAGTTGTTTATTGAAACTACCTTCTTTTTACCTTCCTTTTATTAGCTCGGGATGTAACTATGTAATATTGATGCGCCTAAAAGATGCAGCGATTTCTATTCTCAAGTTACATACCTGATGACAGTACGAATGGCAATTTCAATAGGGAGGTTTCAGTTTTTTAAACTATAATTTTATTTGTCAATGTTATTGTGGCTTGTTAACATTTTATTTTTAATATTTTTATTGAGCTTTGTACCACGATTGTTTATTAGGAAAAATTGAAAAAGCAACAAAGTCTAAGCGGTAGAAGTTATAGCACTATTTCGGAGATCACCACATCTCCTCATCAGACTTCTTTTTCTAGACTTCAGCAGGGTTCGATCCCAAAGCTCAATAAAAATATTAAAAATATAATTTTATTTGTATCATGGGTTATTGCTGCGAATAAACAAATTTATCAGTTGTTCATATTTGCCCTTTATGTACTCCCAATTCTCTCACCCACCAGGTGGTTACATTTGTAGCAAAATTGATCTTTATCGTAAGAGTAATATGCGTACGAAATTTGAACCAAATTGGACCATATGTACGAGGTTTCTAAATATGTCGACTTACGCGCCACCCAGCGAGTTATTTGGTAGTCTCATGTTGAGACCAGATGCCTAATACTAGGTTCACATATAAGTAGATTATCCTCATTTTCGAGCTTAACTTCCTAATCTGTAATTAGAAAGAGATTAGCCATATAAAATTCTTCCCTTGTTAATCTGTAATTATAAAATAATCTCAGATTTAACCGATAAATTTCGGTGTCCATCCTAGTTTTATCGATTTTTTGCGAAGAAGAGGAGAAATGGCAAATGTAAAAGTAAACAAGAATGGACGCTAGCAAGGAAAAGAGGGTTTTAAAGGTGTTTTTTATAAATAAAATGTTGTTAAAACATATCTATATTGCTTAATATAGCAGAAAAACGTGATCACGGTGGCACAGAGCAGAAACATAACTTTTCCTTGAGATGTGAGAATAATAAGCACAACAAATTTGACGGCTAATGATCTGAGATTTGCCTGTGTAAACGGGGTGATTAAAAACGAGCTTTGATTGAGGTAATATTGATATGTGAACATAGTTTAAGGAATAACCTCCGAAAATTTCATTTAAATTCGACAGGTATTTTTTTAGCCAAGTTATAACTAATAAACGGCTACCATTTTATATACGTACTTATAGGTGTATATGTATATGTATAAAGATATACATAGATTAGTATAGAATACTTCAGATATAATTAATCCATCAAGATATTGACAAGTTGAACCAAAGCTTCCAAACTAACCATATACTCAGCCTGATCAGATGTTGCACGTTTTTGAATCCTTATTGCTGGTCTTCGGTAGCCACGACAATGATCATATAGCTGGAAAATAGATTAAAAAATAAATTTAATATCAGGTTTGTCGCGTGAGATTTCTTAAAACACATTTTTACAATAAATTTTGAATTTGTTTTCATTAAAAAAAAAAAAAAAACGGCTTGAAGTTTTTTATTACCTCCAATGCCTGCTGCATTAGCTGCACGGGCAATTCTTGCCACCCCACGTGTACGGTGATTATCTGATTACGTTGTTGTTCATGTAAACGATCAGATAAGTTACAAATCCATTCTCCAAACCCTTGGAATTCATAGCCTATTTTTATATAGAGATGCTCCAGCTGTAAGTTGCCTTCGATTAGTGAAAACAAAATAATGGGCATGACTTTAGCATTGACGAATAACTCCTTCAGTGTTTGAAGAGAGTTAAAAAACTCATATAGTTGTGATCCTTGCCCACGCAAGTTCGTGATATTTAAGATCTCCTTCCTTACACAATAAAGTATTTTAAATGGTGCAAGCAATGGTTGATTGGACTTCATATTGCTAGGCCTATAGCGGTCATCCAAACATAAGCGGGAAATTGCTATATTCTTAAAACAATTTTTTAAAGGTTCTGAATACAAGGAGTGCAAGACCAAAACCAATTCCCGCAGATGGGGAATTTTAGCCAAGTGCTGATCTGTCGGATACTGATCTTTGAGCAAGAGTACTTCTAGATGGGGGCATTTGTTCAATATAACCGTTAGGTCATCCTTATCAAAACACGTATCATAGAATCGTATCTCCCTTAATTGTGGATATTCCAGTTTTAAAATAGGTGCATAAATTATATCACGCCATTTTCCTGCGGATGAGGAAGGTAACAGATGTCTTTCATGTACAATAATCTTAATTGCATGTGGTGCAATTAGACTGTTGAATAGGCTACGTTCCTCCATTGTAAGATCGCCAACACCCGCATCTTTTAAGACTATTGTTTTGTATTTTAAACGCCAAATACGATCCACGATTATATTGCGGAAGCACTTATTAACCGCAGTAGCAGCTACCTGATCGTTAAGGCTGAGGTATTTAAATACCTCCAATAGGCAATCAACAGTCAAAACATCAACCATATTTAGTAGAAAAGTTTACTACGTATTTATTCCAATTTTGCTTTGCTATAATCTTTGATCTCTTATCGAATACTGTTCACTACGAAGCTGCAAATCAAAATTTTATTGCAATTCATGAAAATACTATTTTTTCTTTAATAAATTTGCTCAAGGTAAAATTGCTTACCAAAGTACCAAAAGCTGATCGTTCCAAGTCACTCCTCAAATTATAAAAAACGGTTGCAAAATAGGGATGGAAAAATCGATTCCGATTCCACGCCAGAAATCTAAATTTTTGGGAATCGATCGAGAATCGATTGTGAGAACTCGATTCTTTTATTATTCATACATCTTTATGTGAGGTACACATTGGCGATCAAAACCGACAGTTTCGCTCAAATTTCCCATGTTTGTGTGACCGCTCGTTTTCGTAAGTCAACAGTCAACCGCAAAAATGTTTGGGGTTGACTGTCAGTCAGCGGTCATTTAAGTTTTGACTGATAGTGTGTTCCAAAAACTGTCAGTCAAGCGAAATAATCGCAACGTACACACGTGTGAAATATGTATGTACTTAAAGCACTATAAATAAAAAGAGATTTTCGAATGTTATCCGTGCAACGTTAAAAATGGACACGAATCACGATTTTTTTAAGGAATTTTAAAATTGCTATGACATGCAACGTCGTCTCCGGGACATAACTAGTCTAGAGTACGTGATGCGTGACAGAAATATAAAATCATATGATGAATTGTTAAATATGTTGAAAAATATAAAAAACCATGCAGTGTTGAAGACATGATACAATAATTTTTAGAAGGTAGTTTCACTTCAAAATTTTTGACATAAACCGTGTCTGTGACAAACACGCAATGTGGCCACTGCTACGATATAGAACTTGGGGATTATCGCTTGTTATTTTAGATATTTTTTAACAGAACATGTAAAGATTTATATGTTTCATAACTAATCACTTAATTTTTAATATAAATATACGTGTTTTGTACATACATTTTTGCCACTGCTAATCACATGAATAAAAATCATAAAAATGAAAATATAACAGCAATATTTCTTGTTTATAATGGATTAGATCCATCGCAACCCACGGACTTTATCGGCCGCAAATTTAGATGTGCTCGCTAGTCTTTCCATTGCACCACAACTT